TAAGCCGGATGGATTTCCAGTGCTGGAAGAAGTGGACACAACCCCCCATCCAAAATCCAGAAGATATCTGTAATAAAAACTGCTTGTAGAGAAAAACTTAGCTTTCTCCAAAGAAATCTCTCTAGGTATACAAACCACACTTAAGGGCTGGCCCCAGGCCCCACAGTAGATAGTCAACACAACAAGAACTCAATGGTATTTTGGAGGTTTTAGTACTGTAAAACATTGAGAATTTTGTTTTAAACTTACAGGTATTTTGTTTATATAATTTGGTTATGGATTCTGCGTTTTCAAGAGATTCCTGTGTGCACAAACATATGTGTCTCTAAGACTGTGTGTGTTTCTTCTGCTCTGTCTTTGGCTCCTTTTTTTTCTGTTTGTTTATTTGCTATTTTCCCATTCCCTTTTTTATTTTTGTTTTTGTCTAGTTGCCTGTTTGTTTTCTAATGAGACAGAGAAAGAAACGGAGTTGGATGGGTGGAAAGGTGAGAAGGATCTGGGAGGAATTAAAGGAGGAGAAACCGTGTTCTGAATATGTTATGTGGAAGAAATATATTCATGAGTAAAAATTAAAGAGAAAAGTAGCTCCCAATCCTGGAGCTCATCCTTCAGAAACAGCCTTAATTATCTCATTGGTTTTAGTACAATTTGAACAGTTGCCAAAGTGAACTAAATTTTCAATATTTTGTAAAAGTCAAGGCATGTAGTGACTTAAGGATAAGGATTCTTGCAAGCAGAAATAAAGATAGGATGTTGAAATTTTGAATAAAAACTAAATGATCTAGTTAATATTTGCCTGGGGTTACTCTCAGCATGGGAGGACAGAACCGAATAACAAAGATTCAAAGATCTAAAGTATTTACTATGGGACCTTTCATCAAGTATTTTTGACCCCCCCTCCCCCAGATCACAAAGAATGAGAAAATCTAAAGATAAATGGCCTCTTCACTCAAAGAGTCAATGACAAGAATGATTTTACTTTGTACTATTAAAGCATTTATTTTCTTTGCATTTCATTTTTTTAATTCATTTTACATACCAACCACAGTTCTGCCTTTTCCCCCTGCTCTTGCCACCTTCCACCTCCTGCCAACCCAACTCCCATAAGCATTTCTGTTGCCTTAGTTGGTTTTTCTTTCTCATAACCTGGATTTGAGGACTCACAATAAATAATTGCAGAAAAGAGTCCAGAAGTCTAACTATGTATGACGATGACTTTCATACAAGTTACATTTTAGTCATTTCTAAGACTTAAGAACTAGACCTTGTACTTGAAGCTGTTTGAAATCAGTTTTTTTTTTTTAACATGTGGTTTGGTTGCAGAGCTATTTACCTAGTATTCTGAACTGTTACTATTTATAAGAAAAATCTCATTTAAGCACAGGAACATCTTCAGGTGTATTATGCTGGGCCTTAAAATAAATGAAAATAGGAGAAATTCCCCTAGAGAAACAAGTTTATTGGCTGTGAATATGCATTGTAACAATAGAGTCAAGTCATAAAATTAAATAATTAAGATCATATAATGTGGTTTTCCTTTTGGATATTTAGTGTGGCTTGGAATAGCATAGTCTCATTTTTAAGCTATTAAAATTTGTAGGGCTCATTTAGCTGGGTGAGTAATTAGTCTATTAAGCGTCATTAAGAAAATAAATTAATACTGACACCAGAAAGAGGATGTTTCTAGCTTCTGAATGATCTATAACTTTTAATAAAAATGTAAGAATTAATTCGTAACACACATTAAGACTTCTGAAATTAGAAAGCCCCTCTTCCATTCAGAGCTAACCATCTGAACCTCTGCTTAAAGCTTGATGCAGCTTCAGTGGCGCAGATTTCTCTCTTTTTAGGTGCCTTTTAAGCATCACTTGGTTGACTTTTAAGTTAAATATGCTTATTGAGTGCATTCTCCTGTCTAACAGGAATCACAGAGCAATAATACATTGGGGCCATACCTTCAAGTGTTTGGACTCTGCAAATACCTTTACAATTTTCTTTCTCTCTGAAAAAGAAAGATTTCACCTAATTCCAGGATTATTGTATGTCTTCGCTTGTTAAAACTGTTAGATGTATTTCCCATCCAATATTTGGACTAAATTGTATTCAGAGACTTGCTCATTGAGTTGGTCTCAGATTTGGTAATTAATGAATCCCATCTAATCAATTAATTTTATCTTCCACCAAGTTGTAAAGGTGTTTTATCTAAGACTGGTTCTAAATTGTAGGTTAAACCCCTCTGGCCTAATTATAGAATATACATTTCAAATATACTGGAAATCTAGACATACTTGGCTATGCTACAGACATGTGCACACATGAATTATTTTGGCACCTAACTTACTATGCCACTATTAAGTTGTTGTTCAGCATAATTTTATATAATAAATAATTGGCTTGAAGAATAATGGGTTGCCTGGACATCAAGATTTGTTCTTGAAAATAAGTTCTTGGGTGACGTCTGCTCCATTTGTTCTACTGAGAAGTCATAACTAGGTAGGAAAAAGAAAACATTCTTGATCGAGACAAGTCCCTAATGCAGTGCAGACCGTATTTGTTGCCTAATTATGCAGACTGATCCTGCGTGACTGCACTATAGGGCAAAAGGACATGAAGACGGAAATTAGCACTGGACTTAGCTCTTAAATTGTTTTCCCTTTTGAAAGAAAGTAGACTTCTTTTCCAACTGTCAGAACCACAACTGGATTACTGTAGCAACTCTAGGAAATCCGTGTATTCATATAAAAGGAAATGGCAAGGAAAGACAAAAAAAAAATTCCCTAAAGTAGTGTTAAAGGCAGGTGGTACAATTTAGTTGCAATTACTACCTGAGGTACAACCTTACCTTTATGCCATCAAACTTATTTTAATGTTGTATATGTTCATATAAATGGTTCAAGGTTGGCATTAGCATTTATCTCTGTTGTAAACTGCGGTCCTCAGTGGGAGAATAAGCACAACCGCTGATAGGGACCTACAACTCAAATAGGCGAAAGGGCTTCTGGGAGGGACCTACAACTCAAAGAGGTGAAAGCGCTCCCGCCAGCAACAAAGTATTAGATTAAAACAGGAAACTCTGGTTTTGGTAGTTCAACATTTTAAAACAATGTATCACTGAATCTTGGCTGTTGAGGTAATTCTCTTGAGTCATTCTCGTAGCCTGAGAGTACCTGTGGGGTATCCCATGCATCTCATCAGATCGAAGATATGCTCTTCACCTCAGTGACTGGGAAGACTGTGTTTATTTGCTCTACTCTTCCTATCTTAATATATTTGTTCCTTCCCTTTCAATAACTATTTGTTGAGTGGCCACTTTTAGCTATCAGATGCATATGAATAGTGTATGCATCTGTCTTTGAAAATGTAGATTTAGTTAATAAAAGAATGTTCTAGATTGTTTATGTCCTTGGCCTATACTATTATTTTTAACATGGTGTTTGATAAGCATTTGTAAAATATTATTTTGGAATATAAAAGTAAACAAGTCATAAGGAAGTGTTTCAACTGTTAAGTGTTTGCCATGCAAGCTTGATCCTCATATGAATTAGGTGACCACCAGAAATTACATCATCAGAAAGTAGACTCAAGCAACCCCAGAGAGAAAGCTACTAATAAGATAGTGTGACTATCCATGTTAGTAGACTCTTGCTGTGATTGTGAGGCTCTGCCTCAATGAACAAGGAAGAAAAGTGAGCAGGATGATTCTTGATGTCAATTTTGGGTCTCTGTGCTACACATGTGCACATGCGATACAAACATTTGCACCCCACGCATATCAACCCATATATCTAGTCATCCACAATACAAACATATGGAAATAGAGAACAAAACTATGTAAGCATGAATTAAATGACATTTCTTTTTAAACATATCTTTAAGTATATGGTCTATTGCCATGTGTTATAATCCAAAGACTGCATCACTTATATTAGTAAGATTTACTGAAGAATAATATATTAATTTTTGCAGCTCATTATAATAAAGTGCCTAAATTTTTTAGATGACTGCAATGTTGTGGGGCTCCCACTAAAATTTACTCCTCTCTATTTAAATAATGAGGAACAGAATTTCAGTAGAGATGCATACTTATATCTATGCTAATGCAATACAATAATGAGTAGACAAAATGATATGTTCTAACGTTAATTTTAATAGTCTGGGATAAATATTGAAAGTGAATATATTTTACTTGTCAGTGCAAGCTTTAAAAATTATCTTTTGTTATAGAATACTTCAGAGCCTTGAGATTCATTTAACACTAATTGATTAAAATTATTTCTCAGGTTTTATATGGCACTGTAGAGAACTCATAAGAAGTTGAGAAATAAGAGATAAGAGGCATTACAATAAGGTAACTACAATTTGACACCAGATTTAATGCCCTAAGATCAGTGAGTGCAAGGACCTCTGATTCAAGCTGAGCTCTCTCTTCTTCCCATATCTTCTCAGAATTCACTGAAGAGACCATTTAGTAACAAAGCCATATTTCTAAGTGACGAATCGCAATGGGAGGGAAAAAATGGACCTTGTTCAGAGCATAAGTCCTGTTCTTTATTTCTTGAATTTTATATTTGAGTCACATTTTTTTTTTCTGTACAAGGGGTAGCCCTGAGTGAAACTACAAACGGCATTGCTTAGAACAGGGGCCCAGACAGGCAGTTTACACTGGTTCCAAGCCAGGTCTTTTGTGTTTCAGGAAATAGTGATGGCTGTAGATGTGGAAGTATAGTTTATTTTCCACAGAGAACTGCATTCATCTACAACTCCACTGGGGGACATAAGTCTTGGGCTTCTACGTTTCTTTGTCATTTGAGAGCAGATATGGGCACCTCTGGTTTGGACTACCTTAAAAGGCACTTGTGTGGTGAACAGCCTTGTGGGAAGAGAAGTGGTCCTCTAGAGATTCACGTGTGGCTCTCATTACTGCCAGGATAAGATAGAATAACTGTCTCCCTCCGAGGAATGATTATTGATTCTTACTGTCCATTAGAATGTATTTGGAGCTACTGATCTGGCAGGGGAATACCACGGTCAAATAAGTGGTTTTCACAGGGTCAGGTTTATCCACAGGATTCTGGGTATGTAGAACCTTGCAATTTACACAAACGTGGGAAACTCAAATGCATAATTTGAAGCATTATGTATGGGACTGCATTCACACTTTCTCTTAGAAGAAAGAGTAAATGAAAGGAAGGAAGATTTGTGTTCCCTCAGCTCCTGATACATCCCTCTGGTGTAACAAACCTCATGCTGTTTTCTGTTGCACACCAGGAGTCTTGATTCTCAAAAAATACTGGTTACTTTAGAACCTTGTTTTTTACTATAATATAAAAAGCATCCTTTATTCTGGCTAGCTGATAGTTCCAACTGCATATCATGCTGTCTTTCTTTTTCACAGGAAGTGTCAAAATGATGGCAAAAATAACTGAAAAGAGCTATTGTAATGGAACCAGAGGGGTGGCACCAAGATATGTAATAAGTGGATCCATTTCTACATGGTTTGTTAAGCTCTATAATGCTGTAAGTCCAACAGAAAGAAAGGACAGACACAGCATCCTCAGAGAAGTCTATTTCAAATGTAGACGGGTTATTTTATTCTTAGAAGTATACGGTAACTCAAGCAGGAGAGTGTCAAGAGAACTGATTTGAGATATGGAAAATAATCAGGATGATTAATGAAAACAAAGTCATGATTGACAACTGTTTTCCTAACATCTTAGCCAGGTGCAAGTATGATAATCCAAAACATCTTCACCTCTGCAAGTATAGACTCAGGTAGAATGTGAACAAATGCAACTAAATTTTGTAGAAAAACAGGATTCAAAAATCTTACTAGCCCACCAATGTAAATCCATCATGGAGTTAAAATTAGAAAGTACAGTTTATATGGTTGATCTTAGTCGTATACCGCCAGTTATCTCTCGGGTGACTCATATTCATGCAAAAATGTGAAGTGTAATCTCTGTCAGAGAAGTAGTGCTGTAGGGAAACAAACAGCATGGAGGATTATCCATCAGCACATATTTTCATATATTTTAATAAATAATCTTCCAACACAGATGAAATTCTGAGGAAGAGTACTTTTAAAAAGGAACTTAAAAGTTTAGATTTAATACTTGCACATAGAACAGATAATTCAAATGAAAGACACTGTCCTCTTCTACACCGTACCAAAAAAAAAAAAGAAAGAAAGAAAGAAAATAAAAGGAACTCAAGATGATCAAATCAGACAGCATTGAGAAAAGACAATTTGAGACAAAGGAAAAAATATCCAAAATACAGGAGCAGAAGTAAACGTAAGAAACAGAGTAATTGGAATGAAACATTAGGGAAGTCAGAGATAAACACTCAACTGGAGCATCGATAGAACCGATCTCAAAGACAGCAGTATGTCATCACTAATGAGGGGAAGAAAGTTCCAATGGAAGGAAATTTAAGGCTATGAATAAGACTCAAGTATTCATAGTGAAAGGGCACTACATGCAATAGCAGTAAGGAATAGAAAGATTGTCACTTAGATATTTCTTGGTAATAGTTGAGACAACAGTAACAAAAGAGAAGAATCTAAAGTTCTCTGTAGAGAAGAAACCACCCAAAAGAGTGCCTGGTTGTTGTTTTCATTTGTTTCCTTTTTTTTTTATTGAGCTCAACATTTTTCTCTGATCCCCTCCCTACCTCTCCCTCCCCTTCAACCCTTATTTGTTTCTTATCAACTTAGCACAACCTATCTGAGAAGAGGGACCCACAGTCGAAAAAAATTACTTTTTCCATTAGATTGATCTAGCTATAGTGAAGTCTGTGGGACATTTCCTTCATTAGTTATTTGTAGGGGAGGGCCTGTCTGACTATGGCTGGTGCCATGCCTGGGCAGGTGGTCCTGGGTTGTATAAGAAAGCAAGTTGAGCAAACCAGGAGGAGCAAGACAGAAAAATACTATATTTTTAGAAATTCAAACATTTAAGGACACAGTTTACAAACTCAAAGTAAGAAAAAGTTCCAGATATTAACAGAAATAAAAAACTAAAAGGTCGTAAAAGAGCTAAATATGGGATTCTAAGAATAGCTAAGTTAACTGAAAGGTGCAAAGGAAATAAATGACTTCGGGACTCTGCAGCCTTCCTAGGAGATGCTTTTCAGCTATTGAGTAGAGCAGATGAGTTCTTGGAAGATGCTGTTAGGATTCGAGGGCAACAGCATCACCGGAGATGTCATTACAAGAAACATGTGTCCTGTCTTTCAACTACAGAAAATACACTTAACTACAAATTGGAAAAATGTCAGGCAGGAGAGATGATTCTGTTGATAATGTGTCAGAAAAGAAGCAGAGTTTTGCTCACCAGAACCCACATCAGTGTTTGGTAGGTGTGTTAACCAGTCTTAGGAAGGCAGAGACAGGGAATCCCTGGAGCGAGCTATATACTGAGCATAGCTATCAAAAAGCTCCGTGTTTGAAAGATCCTACCTCAAGAAATAAGAACACTGTAGGTTCATCACATTTGGGTCTCTATATGAATGCAAACAGACACACACACATCTATGTGTGTGCATCTTTACACGTAAGTGTGTTGACACACATGCAAACATGAATATGCATCCCACACACACAACAAAGAGAAAAGGAGTAGAAATAGAAATGCCAACGTTAAATTGTATGTAGAATGTCTTGAGTAACAGTGGAGAACAAAACAGAAGTTTTGTTATATTTGCTTGGGAGGACATAATGTGAGGATTAATAAAAAACAAACATAACTCTGCCTTTCCTTACTTTACCAGGAATATGTGTATTGTGATAAGGGATAAATTCTAGATCTGCTCAGTTCATTCCTCTTAGGTTGATTTCACAGTTTGTTATATGCAGAAAAGAATCCCGGTTTCTTCCCATCCCAATCCAAGGCATCCATGACATATTTCAGGGAAAGGTACACATGTAAATAACCCGCGAAAGCCAGTTCCATTTGAGAGATATCCTAGTATGGTGTGTGAAATAGAAAGAACACAGCAGAGGAGATGAAGCATAGTTTAACAAACTTCAATGTCACATTTGTAGAGAGGGGCAGGGGAGACTAAGTTTATGACTCCAAACATCTGAAAAGAGACCATGATGATTGCTCAAAAATGAGTTGCTGGTTGGTTTCTTATTATTTGTTTTGGTTTTGCTTTTCAAGACAGGGGTTTTCTGTGTAGTCTTGGCTGTCCTGAAACTCACTTTGTAGACCAGAATGGCCTCAAACTTATTCATCTGCCTCTGAAAGGCCTGTGTCACCCCCTCCTGGTGCCCTGCTGTTGGTTGACTGAAGTTTAGAATATTGGGGAGAATTATTTTGATCATTGTAGGGCTTTTTGTGTTTCCTTTCGACACTTGGAACAATACAATTTTTACTAATATCTATATTTAGAGAGAGATTTTTCTTCTACAACTTAATTTTATTATACAGCTTTGCTATAATTAATGTGTTATAATCTCATTAATGGTTCAAATATCATGAAGCTTCAAGTAGTTAAATATCATTGAAAGATGCTATGGCTGCCTAAGATAGAGAAATTGAGAAGCCTAATTTATAATGAATTATAAATTAATTTGTTCAGAAACGTGAGTACTTAGCCAATCTGAGTGCAACTCCATGTCTGACTCAAAAGCCAGATCTTTCAGGAGGGCAAAGAGGGAGAGAGAGAGAGAGAGAGAGAGAGAGAGAGAGAGAGAGAGAATATGCATCCATCATTTTGTCATGATTGATAATCAAGGGAATAAATTTTGTATTAATTTCCTAAGTCATGAGTCATGATACCACATGATGAAGAAAAGTCTTGGAGAAACAAGGGTTTAGTATTTTCAACATTTGCAGGGCAAACATTTTCTTTTTCCAGAATAGCAAAATGGGGGAGATAACTTCACACATATAAAATGATGGCTGTGTTGGGCATCCTTACCAAGGGAAAAATATTTTTGTCATATTTGTTTTCTCGTGATTTAAATATTTTATTTAATATTCGTATGCACGTATAAAGTGTTTGGGCCCAATCTACCCCCCATTCTTTCCCTGCCAATTCTACCCTTACCCTGTTTTACTCTCTCAATGTTATTTGTCCTTTCTCTTTCCCTCTTTCTCTAATTTAATACCAGCTTCATCCCCTTAGTGAAGCCTCTACCAGCTTGGGAAAAGGGTGATTTACTTGAGTAATGATATAATCTCAGGGTTCACATCCCTGAAAAAAAATCTGTGTATCTCTGTAAAGATTCAGCCACACAACATGACTGACACTTCCAGGTCCAGCGCCATGTATTTACAGACAAGACTTCAGGCAGCAATGCCTAATGGCCCCAGGAATCTTAAGGGACCCGCATGACCCACAAGTGCGGCAAGGTTGCATCATCTACCTATGATGCAGCTGCATGAGCCCTTGCACGCATGCATGAGCTCTGTCATCTGCATATGATTCAGTCACATCATCCCCCAATGCATGTGTGCTTGGCAGCCTTTAAAAGATGGATGTGCAGTCTTCAATCCATCTCTCTGCACAGTGACTTCCCCAGGCCTGTATAAGCCCCCTCTAATAAACTCCTAAGTGGGTTTGTTGGGTGCTCCGTGTTTCCTTCTCACTTGCACCAGGTAATTTCAATCCCTGTGATAGTCTGAATGATAAATATCCCCCTTCCAAAGGCCTACAATATTTGGCTCATTTGAACACTTGATTCACCTTGGTAGTGCTGCTAATGAGGTGTGGTCTTGCTGGAAGAGGGCTTTGAGAGGTTATAGCCCGATCTCAGTTCACTTTGTCTGTTTCATTCTTGCACTTGAAGGTGTGAGCTCTTAGCTTCTCATTCCTGCCATCATGCCCGTTGTTTGATGCCCTGCTTCCACAGCATGATGGATTCTTATCCCTCTAGATCCATAAGCAAAATAATCTCTTCCATTTATAAGTTGCTTTTGGATTGGAGTTTTATCACAGAAACATAAAATTAATTAACATATGCCCTCTCTTAATATCCAACACTTTCAATTAAAAAACAATCCTCCTCTAATCTTAATACAAAAGTAATTCAAATAAAACATGAACTCATCACAAGAATGTATTCTTTCTGAATAAGAATAGTAACTCTTAGCATAGCTATGTGGTATAGAGACTACTATGAAATTAGTCTCTAAATAGGAGTAGTGAAGATGCAATAAT